GCTGCTGCTGCAGGCTGCAGCAGTGGAAAAAAAAAAAAATCTTAGAATTTGAATTCCTGAGGTGAATTAGGATGGAAAGTGGATGAAATTAATCGTTGACTTGCGTAATTAAACTTATTTCTTGATTTACTTCTATTTGTAATTTACTTCTGTTTATATTTATGCTCTGTTTGATAGCTTAAAGATGGAGTTTTTGAATCAGTAATGGTATTTTAGTTAATAGAATGGCTGTATTTCCTGCTGTGAGCGTTGTTTTTATTTATTTATTTTTTCTTTACCTCGATTTTTCGTTAAAATCTAGGATGAGCACAATTTTGATATTATAGCGACAGCGTCTGCTAATATTTAGAAAAAGGTGGAATTTTTCCTTCATGCTGTCAGTAAAATGGTAAGGATGTGTTTATTGATCGGAGTTAAAAGAGTAAAATTCTTGATATATTATAGCGAGAGGATCTGCTAAAATGACTACTTGTTGATGTGAAAACAAATGGAAATGAAATCAAGAACCCTTTATTTCCAAGTTTGTGGTAGATTGTAATGCATTTATAGAGAAGAGGTTGGCTTGTATTAATTTGTGAAATTTTCTGGATTGAGCTTGATAGTTGAAGTTAAAGATCGTGCCGTATGGAATGGATCTTTTTAGACTTCTAAAATTCAATATATAAGATTGTGGAAGAATTATGTGCTGCTTAAATTGAATTTGAAGTTTGTGTTATCGCAAGACCTTAATATGCAGTTGACTTAAGCATGCAGGATATAGGAGTTCGAACATTTTACATTTGTAGAGATTTGGGATGAACATTGGCACATATGTCAACCATTAGGTTGAAGTTTTTGCGTGAAATATAATTTGATGGGCTGATTGATATCTGCTTCCAGTAATTTTATTACACTTGCTGTCTCTTCTTGATGTGCTTTGGCATGGTTGACGTATTTGCTACTTGAATATCTTGCCAGACAAATCTTATCTGGGAAATGATATGGTAATTTGGTTTCTGTTTCGTATGTTGAAAAACATAGGTGCTTTGCATTGCTGGTATGCATCCTGTAAATCATGTTTGTGGGGTTAGTATCTAGGCAACCTTGAATTTAGTTAAGATTGGTGGCGATGCAGCTCTTTTCCAAGCTAAATAGAAAAAGAAAAGAGGAAAGAAGATATGACAATATAAGATTGATAGGTTTTATAATGCCTAATGTTAGTGTTGCTTGTGAAGGGCTGATTTGGTTTCTCTCTGGGACTGGTAGTCTCCAAACCTACTTCCTCTTTATTAGTTTGAAGAAACTGAAAATGATGACAATGTAATTTAATATCAACTAATCCTATCTATAATTAGGTAAAGAACAAGCCCATTCAGAGGAGGAAGAATGTGTGATCCAACCATCTCAATTGACTGCCTGCATTATGTTGTTAATTGAACCATGTATTTTTATTTTCGATGATCTCTCTAACCTTTGGTTATTGGCTGGACGTGCCTCTGTGGTTTGTTATTTAAATTTTGGCCTACTTGCAACATGGTTAAAGAATTGACATGCAGAGATGTAGCATGAGAAATAGTCTTTGCTTTCCACACTTGGCTCTTGATTTTATGGATTGCTATGTAAGAAAAATTTCTGACTGCATTTTCCTGCCTTTTCTCCCTTTCTATGGGCTATTTTGCGAAAATACTGATCAAAAAGAAAAGAAAGGAAAAGAAGCCTTTTGCTAATGTGGTTTCTGTTTCTTGGTTTCAGATACTGCTGTGGGATTCTTTACCACTTTCTTCTAATGGAGAATGTGAAAGCTGAAGAGATGCCTCATTCGGAACCATCTTTATCCACTGATGATATTCATCATGCTTCAAATGAAGCTTCAACTAATACCATCAGTAATGGGAAAAGTGAATCTGATTATCAGTTATCAGTGATGGAGAGCTCCAAACCAGCCTCTTTGCAAGATGCTTCTGAGGTCCCAATTTTAGTACAAGAGAGTAACTTCCCAGTAGAAAGTATAGCTTCAACTTCATCTGTTATTGTTGACCAAACCTGTCCAGATCATCAAGAGAATTCTAGAGCTGTGGAAAAACAGGACATTTTTAATGAATCTGGCACTTCTGGTGTTAATATTGATGACGTGATTTCACACCCTGCTTCCTCAACAAAGGTGATAGATTCTACAAGTGGCCATGAAGCACCACCCAATGATCTTACTCAGCCCCATAAAGATGTCACTATTGTTGCTGCTGGATCTGTACACAATACTGATACTTCTGATGCACAGCAATCTTTGTCCTCTCAAACCATTGACAATACTGACGTCAATGCTGGCAACACAATGTTGCCTCCTGTTTCCCCTGTTAAGACAGCAGATTCTGATATTAGCAATCATTCACCATCAAATGAATTAATGCAGCTCCATCCTATGGACAGTGCTGTTGCTGTTGAATTTCTTGAAGAAGCTTCTGATAGACAGCAACCTCAAGATGGTAGTTCTGTTGCCAGCACTCAGGTTAAAATTGATGATGGGGCCATAGCTCCCATTGCTTCTCCCGTTTCCTCTCCCACGGTAGCAAGAAAGGTGAATGACCACCATGTAGCACCACTTCATGAGCTTATTCTTCCCCACCGCAAGATTGGCCTTTCGGTTGGATCACCTAAATCTATTACTCCCAAGCATGTTACAAGAGGTCTTATTGATACAGCAGCTCCTTTCGAATCTGTTAAAGAAGCTGTGTCCAAGTTTGGGGGAATTGTTGATTGGAAAGCACATAGAGTGGAAACTGTGGAGGTTCAAATTCTTGATCTTCTTGTTAGTATAATCAGCTGCATTATAATTATTACATGGAGATATGTCTCATTAATGTTTCTTATCGTGTATTTCTGTGTTACCATCCACTTGACTTACGATTTTATTCTTTTTTCTTGGGCTACTCTACCCATGACTACTAGAAGTAACTTTAATTTTCATTTTTGGGCTGTGCAGAGACGCAAGCTTGTTGAACAAGAACTTGAGCAAGTACAAGACGAGATTCCTGAATATAAGAAACGGTCAGATGATGCTGAAGAGGAAAAGAAGCAAGTGTTGAAAGAGTTGGACAGCACAAAGAGACTTATAGAAGAGCTAAAGCTCAGTCTGGAGAGAGCACAAACAGAAGAACATCAGGCAAAACAAGATTCTGAGCTAGCCAGGCTTAGGGTGGAGGAGATGGAACAAGGGATTGCTGATGAGGCTAGTGTTGCAGCAAAGACACAGCTTGAGGTTGCTAAAGGCAGGCATGCAGCTGCAGTTTCAGAATTGAAATCTGTTAAAGACGAATTGCAATTACTGCAAAAAGATTATGCTTCTTTGGTGAGTGAGAGAGATATAGCTATAAAGAGAGCTGAAGAAGCTGTTTCTGCATCAAGGGAAGTTGAGAAGACAGTGGAGGAATTGACTATTGAGCTGATTGCTACAAAGGAGTCCTTAGAGTCTGCGCATGCTGTCCACCTGGAGGCAGAAGAAAAAAGAATTGGAGCAGCCATGGCCAAAGATCAAGATACTCACTTTTGGGAGAAGGAATTGAAACAGGCAGAAGCAGAGCTCCAGAAACTTAATCAGCAAATTCATTCAACAAAAGAGCTAAAGTCAAAACTAGACACAGCTTCAGCCTTGCTTCTCGATTTGAAAGCTGAATTGACAGCTTACATGGAATCTAAGGTCAAGGAGGATACTAATGAGGAGCAAACCCATACCGATATACAGGCTGCAGTTGCTTCAGCAAAGAAAGAACTGGAAGAAGTGAAGCTGAATATTGAGAAAGCAACTGATGAAGTGACTTGCTTGAAGGTGGCTGCCAATTCACTAAAATCAGAGCTTGAAACAGAAAAATCAGCTCTTGCCACCATTAGGCAGAGAGAAGGAATGGCATCAGTTGTAGTTGCAGCTCTGGAAGCAGATTTGGAGAACACTAGGTCAGAAATAGCCTTAGTCCAGATGAAGGAGAAAGAAGCAAGAGAGAAGATGGCAGAGCTGCCCAAGCAACTACAAGCAGCAGCAAAAGAGGCTGATGAGGCCAAGGCACTTGCTGAAATGGCTCATGAAGAGTTGCGCAAGGCAATGGAAGAGGTAGAGCACGCAAAGGCTGGAGCTAGTACTGTGGAGAGTAGGTTACATGCAGCACAAAAGGAGATTGAGGCTGCCAAGGCTTCAGAAAACTTAGCTTTAGCTGCTATTAAAGCATTGCAAGAGAGTGAATCAGCTCAAAGCACCAATAATGTGGATTCACCTTCTGGGGTAACACTTTCTTTGGAAGAGTACTATGAACTAAGCAAACGTGCTCATGAGGCGGAGGAACAGGCCAACATGAGGGTGGCAGCTGCCTTTGCCCAAATTGAGGTAGCAAAAGAGTCTGAAATGAAAACTGTACAAAAGTTGGAAGAATCCAACAGAGAAATGACAGAGAGAAGAGAAGAACTGAAAATTGCAATGGATAAGGCAGAGAAGGCCAAGGAAGGGAAGTTGGGTGTAGAGCAAGAGCTAAGAAAGTGGAGGGCCGAACACGAGCAACGGCGGAAGGCTACTGAATCTAATTATGGAGTAAAATCACCAAGAGCAAGTTATGAGGGAAGGAATGAACCTAAGAGTACTGATGCCACACCAGAAGCCACTGTCTTGCGAAGCCCAAAGGCACAAGTTCCTGTAAGTAACACTGAAACTGAGTCACACCCAGGGACAGCAAAGGCTGGAAAGAAAAAGAAAAAGGGATTCTTGCCAAGGATTTTTATGTTGCTGGGCAGAAGAAAGGCACATGCATCCAAGTCCAAGTAAGTGGGCACCAAAACAATTTGATTTGTCTTCTGTTGTGATTTTCCCTCCCTTTTTTGTTGGGATTGTCACAAAGTGGCCACAGAACGTGGATATGGGGTGACAAATTTTTATGCTGAGTGTAAATTTGAGTAATTATTTGATGTATGATGAAGTTGGATTATACTTCTGCTTACAGAGAGTGGGTTTGGAGGTAATAAGATGTTTCTGTATATGCTTGGCTTTGTGACTTTCAAACTTCAACCCTTGTAAGATTGAATTGATGCAAGTTTTGTCTTTGAAATTGTCTACTTGCAGGCTGCTCTGGTCATGTAAAATTGCCTGTAAGGAATCATAGATAATTCCCTTTTTCCAATTCATTCTGGATGGCATGATGTGAAAGGATTTTGTTTCAGTTAAAACACTGTAAAGAACTGAAATCATGAAACGCAGTTTTTCCTGAAATATACAGATAGTCGTATAAGTTATGCGCCCTGAATTTTCTATCAAAAAGGTGTTGTGTAGTCTGATGTCCAGACTGCACAATCTAAATCATTGGATGAGCCGTAGGTCTGTAATATTGAGAGTTGTTTCTCATTTAACGATATTTGTTTTACAGTTTGATGTAATCTAAATTACAAATTATGACTCTCATTTTTTATTTCCTTGTTTTAATGGATATCAATCAGCTCACACCCACGATTGTAGGGTCTAAAAAGAATATACAGTATGGATATTTCCATTTGCCCAAAAGAGTATGGTCAAAATATGAGACATTTATATTTCATGGTTTCATGGTTCTCAATATAAAGATCAATAACATGAGTAAAATGGCAGAGCAATTTTACATTTTCAAATTGATACGGCAAATGCAGAATTAGGAACTGGAATTAGCAAGTGTCTGAATGATAGTTTTGTGCCACGGATTCGAAAGATGCTCTACTAGATTATCAATTGGACCTGCATGAGTCACATAAGCTTGCACAAAGATCCCCAGCATGGCCACCATTGCAAGCCTTCCTGCAAAGAGCAATTCATTTATGTAACCGTAGGGGGAAATTGCCCAAGAAATGGGCATTCAGTTCCAAATTCCACCACCCTACAGATCGTTAAATATCAAAAAAGAGAAACCCATAAAAAGAATCACAACAACAAAGATTCAATGAATGAGGGAAAGCAGACCGTTTTTAATCTCCTTAAGCTTCCAGTCATGGGCATTCTTTATATCTCTAGCCAGTCCAAGAGGATTCAACAGAGGACCTCCAGGGTAGCTGCATGTTATAGGAAAAGAAATGTTAACACTAAGAATTTAATCATTATTTCAGAACGCAAGAAAAGCTGTATTTCGAATTTCGAACAAATGGGGATACAGGAAATTACCCAGGTTCTAATCCTGCTAGTGCAGCTTCCAATCCAAAAAAGGATCCCTCTTTTGCTTGAGACCCGGGGCTGATGAAATCCATATACCTTTTGGTTTCAACAAACCTGTCCATAGGAAGAAAATTGAAATGCTTACATTTTTAACAAGTCCTAGAGAAGCAAAGATACACAAGTTAAATAGATTGTACCCCATCAGAAGTAACTGGACTGCAAGCAAAGTTCTTGTGCTGGCAAATTCAAATTTCACTGCTCCTGCTTCATACCATACTGGTAAGTTGCTGATACCGGTTACACGCAGTAACTGCAGCAAAATAGTAAAAGATCACCAAAAATAATGTGGGGAATCTCAATTGAACATAACTTAGCCATGTAATCGTGAAACATTGCAGGGAGGTCCTTTCAAATGGTGCTTGAAAGCCCACAATTCCAACCCTATTTTATCTCCACAATTTCATAACCCATATGAATGAATGAAGTTTAAGGTTTTTGAGAAGCAACCTACATCAGTGAAAAGAATTCCAGCTACTCCAGCCATGGCAAAGCGAGCATGTACCAATTCAGCCTGCACATACCACTTCAAGCTTTCCGGATCCTCTCCTAACCCGAGTGGATCGAACCCATAATCTCCAGCCAAACTGGTTTCAGAAAAATAAAAAGTATGAAGCACTTTCTTTTTCTTTTTTTTTTTTTGGAGTTAACTTTATCCTTAAAGGGTGGATGGTGACTCACGTTCCATCCAGATAAGGCGGAGGATCCAGCCCAGGAAGCCATGTTGGTCGCTGCTGAGCTCGAACCACGGTTCGTAAAAAGCGTGGACTGGTCCTCGGTTTAGCTGACCAGAATATGCTTGGTTCATGCAATAAGGGTTTAGATACAGTGGTCCGGAGAAAGCGTGGAGAAGAGGAGCATGTCTGAGCGAGAAAGCCTCTTCCAATGGCAGCAGCCATGTCTGTTATCTGCTTCTCTGTTGACAACACTTGATAGGAGGCATACAAGCGTCCACGTTTATACTAAACCATCTAATAATATAGAAGAGAAATGAGCCACATAATAATATTACATGACCCCACTACTCCTTGTTAATTGCCATCAGACTAGAGTGCATGGGCAATACTTAGGCATTAAAGGTCTAAATTTACTGATACAAGAAGCAATTCCTGCTCCATCAAAGTACTAAGCCAACAATATTAATCATCTTCTAGCAAACAGAAATCAGTATTTAGCACAATTAGGAAACAGTATTCCAGGGAAATACTTGCCAACACACTAACTAAAGTAGTACAAATCGTACATTTGAAGAAAGCATTAGCGGCTTCAATCACACGTGAAAGTGGACAAAGGAAGGTTGATTTCCCGGCATGTCATCGCCTGCTAGATATGCTGAATGAACTAACTTTCATTGGGGTTGCAATAACCAATGGGGCTTCAGGGGACTCAGTGACTGCAAACTTGTCATGCATGAAGCGACTATCAACAATGGAGTCATCCCTCAAGACTATCTTGTAACAGTAGCAGCTCTTCAGGCCCTGCTGATTTCGATAACATTCATGAGACCCGTCTTTAACCTGCTGGAAGTTCCATATCACGCTGAACTTGCCAACAGTTGCAACCAGATGGCGCTCTTGCTTCCCGTGCTCCGTGACCTAAGTAGTTTTTGAATATGTAGCAGTTAAAGATGGACTAGAAATACAAACCAAGACAAAAATACTTGATATCAAATCATAAGCAAAAATAACTGCCTATGGCAAACTGAGAAGCAGGACAGAAAGCTCTGTAAAAAAAACTATTTCGTACATGGAAAATTAATTCATCAAACAAAAGATTATATGGTTGAATGTCCATCAATTTTGCTACTGGAAAGAAATCAGATACTAAATTAACCCATCCACTGAGATCAAATAGAAACATCTTCCCTTTTTGCAGGTAAACATGAACATGCATAAATCAGAAAGCCAAAAGCTGAGGGTAGTGCATGCATGCAAGAATGTCACTATATCTATTACAGAACAGATTCCAAGTTTCTGTGATTCTTAATATCTACACTTTTTCAATGAATGCATGTAGGAATTGTTCTCAATCTACTGTGTCCCTCATTTAGAAAAATAACTTGCATGACATACATCAACCTCACAAGAATAAGCACTGGGAGAAACAAAACAATCCTGGATAATTCTATCTCATACAATTACAGATCTTATATATTCTTGGTGCATTTTGAGGAAGCAGGCATCGGAAAAGGTGGAAGCAACAAAATATTAATAAACAACCAAACACAAAACAGTTTAGAAACCTTAAAACATGAGTCAGCCATTAATTTTAGCAAGTGATAAACAAGGCACTTCACTGCCATTCTTACTACAAAAGCATAGTTCAAGAATGCCAAACATACATCACAAATTAAAGCAATCAAATTTACTGAGGAGAGCAAGAGCCAATATAACAATGCTACATCCAACATAGAAAAATAAATGCCATGTCCCACTTTAGGGCAATAACTCCAATTAAATTTACAAAGTAAAGCTTCGAATTTTCAAATAAAGTAGACGGTTGACCATAAAAAGGAGATTATCCACATAATTAACATGGATCTAAAGAACAAAAACTGAAAAATGAATAGCAGTGGCCAGTTAACTGCTAATAAAAGAATGCCAATACTTACCCATGAAAACTGAGCATTACGGAACTTGTTGTCAATCCCAGCCAAATGTGAATCCAGAGGAGTCAGTTTCAATAATCTTGGAGCTGCAATCCTGTTCCCCATACGACCACTAAAACCTGTCTTTGTCTTGCCATCCTTATCGGTGAAAAGGGAGCAGATAAGAATCAAATAGGTATCAGTTGTAGCCAATATCCACTTCCCATCAAAGGTAACATCCACGTGAGTGATGGGCGAACCAAGACCAGGAAAAGCTGTTTTTGCTTGTCTCATAGAACTGCTTGAGTACAACCTGATCTTCCCATCAATAGACCCAACAACAATTGAACCATCCCCAGTGGTTGCAAAGCACTGGAAGTTAGTGCCTCTTGAAAACTGATGCCCCTGTGTCCAATTTAGAACAGGGGTGTTAGCGCTTGCAAGATTCTGAACCATTCCTTTTCTGTCACGCATATCCCACCTGCAAAGCCTATTATCATCCAATCCTAAGAATGTTGATCCAGATGGATCCAACTGTGCTCCTTTGCTATCATTTACAATATCCCTCATCGTAATATCAACCCCATCCTTCCCAAACTTCCACTCAGTGACAATCTTCCCAGTTTCAATATCAAGCTGATGCAGCCCTGTTGTATGAGGCTTTCCCTCACTCATAGGACTCATGAGAAGCATATTAGTCTCAGCCCTCATAAGAAGTGCCTTCTTTGGTGTTGAATGCACCAAACTAGAACTGCTTCTATGGTTCCCACCATCAAAATTAACAAAAACACCTTTTCCGTGAATCCCATGAGCAAAATTCTTGACAACTTGTATACCAGAATTGCCAACCAAGAAACTGTTATCCATTGCACCCAGTGCCAAGCTTTGTATCCCTCCATTAGCTGCCTCCTCAAACTCTTCTCTCAAGTCCTGGTTTGCCCTCACCGGGGTTGCAGATTGTGGGCTTTTCTGTAAACTATCCTCTGCATCCTCCCACATTGAATCATCAGCTGCATCAGGATTAGCCCACCCAATGAAATCCTTTCCATAAACCTTCATCTTGTTAGCTTCATTGGACTCCATTCCATAAGTATTCTCAAACAAACTTTCACTATACTTGGTAACAAAACCTCTAAAATCCTCATCGCTGAAAAACTTCATAGCCCAGACGCCTTGCGCCACAAAATCAACGCGAAGTTGATCTGGAAAGGTCTTCAAACCCATCTCCAGACCAACTTTCACTCTGACCTTAGTACTAACCTTTAAGACCCACCAACACTCTCCATCTTCGTCCTCATTTTCACTATCATCGCCATCTTCCTCCTCGTTGGAGCCGTTGATGTTGGAGGTCTTGATGAAGGAATAAGAAGCAAGCTTCTCGGAGGTGATCCACTTGGCCTTGGGGGTGTTCCCGCCGATGAATAGATAGAGCTTGACGGTATTTTTCAGAGAAGGGTTTGCTGCGTTGGTTGACGGGTATTTGAGCTTAAGGGCTTTAAGCCTGGCCTCTACTTCGTCGACAGAAGATGGGGTTTTGGTTTTGCGACCAGATGACGACCTGTCAGGAGTCTCGTCCTTGGAGTCTTCATACGTTTCTTCTTCTTCCTGGTATTCTTCTTCGTCTGAGTCTGGGATGTCGAGATCTTCCCGACTGTGAGCACCACCCATTGTTGATTCCTGTTAGAGAAAGAGAGATCAACTACAAAAACTGGAGATGGGTTTTGGGGGACAGATTGATACAGGAAATGGGTTAGGTATAGAGCGCCAATTTCGAAATTTGAAATTAGGAGGTTTGCAATATTTGGCCTTTTGTATCATTAGCTTAGGGTTCTTTTCTGGGAAGGATAAAATAAAAAAAGAAAGGAAGAATGAAAACGGGTCGGCCGGTTGGGTAGTAGATCCAGGTTGATCCGTAGATGGGTTGGGCTTGAGTTACAACTTAGATCCGGGCTCAACCCAATAGTTCCATTCCTTCGTTCATCCGCCCCTTCGGTGACCCCTAATCTCTTACTCTTAGCTGCAATACAACTAAATTAAAAAATAATTCAGAGATAATTTTGTTATATAACTTTACATATCATTTAAATAATTAACTTTCTTATTCATTTAAAACTCACAACATTAAATGCATTTACTTATTTAATAACATATTAAAATTATATAAAAAATAATTGTACAAAAAAAAAAATCTCTATTACCATATGAACTTTGACTAGTTTTCATCTCATTTACATTGATGAATGATCTCCACATTCATGCTCATACGTCAGACTCAACAAAGAGAAACGCGCCTGGAAGCAAATAAATTGGAAACTAGTATAAACGCGTGATTATTGATTACTGTAGCTTATCAAGTTCTAAGATGTGAAATATTTGCATTGGAACTTACCTCTTCAATGTGATTTTCAGAAATTCTCACCTCATCGTATTGGAATTTTGCTTTTCTTTTCTAAAAAATGGTTATGACGTGAGATCCAGAATGGCAGGAGACTCTGGCCGCAATAATAAGGGCCAAGGAATCAATGTTAAAACAAATGCAGAGAAGAATTTGTATTAAGATCGTCACCTTCTCTAAGATATGAATTTGTTATCCATTTCTTCAAACGAGGTTACCTCAACCGAACTAACTCCGGAACAGCCATCACCTCCAGTTTCTCTCATCATTTCCCTTACCTTTGCTACATCATCCCACATACCTTGAGATGCATAAAGATTTGACATCATCACGTAAAGGCCACCATGTCTGTAATCCAAGAGATATAGCTTCTTTGCCAAATATTCGCCAAGCTTGACCTCTTGGTGGATGCAACAGCCGCTGAGCAAAGCTCCCCACACGGCACAATCAGGCTCAACTTGCATATTTTTTATGACTACCAGTGCTTCCTCAAATAAGGCTGCACGACCAAGGAGACCGACCATGCAAGCATAGTGTTGCAGATTTGGAGTAATCATATATTCTTCTGTCATAAGCTGAAAATATCTTCTCCCTTCATGAACAAGACCTCCATGAGTACAAGCAGCTAAAACTCCCAGGAATGTAATTTTATCAGGTTTTAGACCTTGTTCTAGCAATCCAGAGTAATGGGTAAATGCTTTCCTTTCAAATCCACATAAACTGTAGCCTGTAATCATTGTGTTCCATGAAGCCAAACATGGCTCTTTGATGCTCCTAAATACCCTTTCTGCAAGCTCTATGCTCCCACATTTAATGTACATATCTATAAGAGCAGTGCCAACAAAATCTTCAACTTCCAGCTTGTTCCTGAGGATATAAGTATGAAGTTTCTTACCAAACTGCAAATATCCTATTTGTGAGCACCCAGAAAGCAAGCTTGCAATGGTGATAAAATCTGGAGTATGTCCATACATCTTCATTTGACAGAACAACTCCATGGCATCACTTGCTCTTCCAGCCTGCACACAGCCAGATATTATTGAATTCCAACTAATTAATGGTTTTTCTTGCATCTCATAAAACAAAGACAAAGCAGCTTCTGTGTCATCAAACCTTGAATACATGCTTATTAGTGCATTTGTGACCAAAGTATGGATGCACAAGCCACTCGTTACTCCATAACCATGGAAAGCACGTCCAATATCAGTATGATCTGGACTTTTAAACCCACCAAGAATGCTAACCATAGCAACAGCATCAAGTTTCATGTTTAATTGCTTCATCCGAGCAAAACATGTCATTGCCAAATCCATATCTCCTTTCTCTGCATAGCTTGAGATAATAGCTGTCAAGGAAACTATATTATCAATGGGTGTTGACCTATAAAGCAGTTCTGCAGAATCTGTGTCCCCATACTTTGAATATACACAAGCTAGAGAAGTAACTACAGAATCATCACAGACAATACCAGTTTTTATAGCAAAACAATGAATAATCTCAGGATTAGCATTAGCTGATAAAATGCTTACAATGGTTATTGAGTTTGCTTCCACATATTTCTCTTGCATTTGCTTGAATACATACATGGCCTCGTCAAATAAACCATTCTGTCCATAGGCACCAATCATGGTGTTCCACGAAACTACAGTCTTCTCAACCATTTCTTCAAACAAGATTTCCGCTGCTTCCAAGTCCCCACATTTAGCATACATCGACAAGAATACATTTCCCACTTGAGAATCCCTATCTAACCCAGTCTTAATTCCAAACCCATGAGCAGATCTCCCCTGAAACACTAACGCATGCTGCCCACAAGACGGAACCAAACCTACTAAGGTTGAACTTTGAGGACTAAAACCCTCCCTAAGCATTTCAACGAATAGACACAAAGCGTCAAAGTCATACCCATTTCGGGAATACCCACAAATCAATGCATTCCAAGCGACTACATCTCTGTCGGGCATATCATCAAACAACAACCGTGCATTTTTCATGCATCCCAATTTTACATACGAATTGAGAAGAGCAGTACACACGTAAACAAACTGATGAACGCCGGACTTAATCAAATGAGTATGGATCTGATTTGCTTCTACCTTCGTATTCAGTGAATCGAAAGCAAAGGCCTTGAGGAGCAGGGAGAAAGTAAGGTCATCTGGTTTCAGTTTGGACTGTAACAATTGGCGAAAAACAAGCAATGGAGGATTGGAAGTTTTGATTTCGAGGTGAGATTTGAGTAAAGCATGGAAGAATGGGAGACCGATCGATTTGGACAAATTCATAATCTAGAGTCCCACTCTCCAGAGTTTCGCGGGAGATTAGGAGCTGGAAAATCAGCACGTCCCGCCTTGCCGTGTTCCAGGCCTCCTCCAGAAGACTAACGACGTCGTAATACATTTTGTCATTTTGCAGGAATTTTCACTTTATGTTGTAGCTATGCCACCCTAGTTACATATTATAGCAGTTAAATTAAAAAAAAATTATTTTTAATAAAAAAAATTATTTTTAATAAAAAAAATTATTATTAAAACAAAATTAGAGATTTAATCTAAAATAAACTTGGACTAGTCGTGCTGCCTGGCTGCCGAACTTTTGAGTCAATCGTGATGACCTCTCAAGCTGTGGAAAGAAGTTTTCGGCGATTATCACCCAGGAACATTTGTCGTTTTTGGTTACTAATTAAGGCCGCCTGGAATTTTGAAAAGGATTTTTACATCACGTGCCTTTACGTACAAGATTAATACATATTTATCATATATTTTTATTATAAATGTATATAAAAATATAAAAATTATTATTAATTTTAATATAAAATAAATTTAATTAGATCATAAATAAATTAAAAATTAATTTTTATTTTTTAATATAAATTTATAATAAAAAAATATATTCAATATATTTTTAATTATTATAAAAATATAAATTAAACAAACACTTTAAAAAAAATTTTATAATCTAACCTCAGAAGGTTATCTTCCAAGAAAATGCAACGCTGCAACCGATGAGTTTTTCTACTCAAATAAGTGGTATTTTCATTTCCCAGTTCGGTAAAGTAACAAACAGACCCCACAAGCGAATAGTGCTACTTTTGAAGATTTTCACTTATCATTTTTTTTTCTTTTTTGAAAGGTAAGTAAAAAAAAAATAAAAATAAAAACCATTAACAAGATAAATTAAAATAATAGCTAAGATAATATTATTCTAAATCAATATCATCCTTTTGGCTTTCTCATCATCTCTCAACATTATTGGAATAACACTCAAAAACACCATACACAACAAAATCAGAGAAGAAACACGTTTTGATCACTTCTTCTCCCATACAGCATAGTCGTTTCCGGAAGTAGCAACTTGGAAATTGGAGGGAATAAGGTTTCCAAGATCCATCTTCGGTCC